TCTTTGAGGAACCTCCACGCAGTTTTCCAGAGTGGCTGCACCAGTTCACATTCCCACCCACAGTGCAAGAGGGTTCCCCTTTCTCCACATCCTCTCCAACATTTTTGGTTTCCTGCCTTGTTAATTTTCCCCATTCTCACTGGTGTGAGGTGGGATCTCATTGTGGTTTTGATCTGTATTTCCCTGATGGCAAGTGATGTGGAGCATTTTCTCATGTGCATGTTGGCCATGTCTAGGTCTTCCTCTGTGAGATTTCTCTTCGTGTCTTTTGCCCATTTCATGATTGGATTGTTTCTTTCTTTGGTGTTGAGTTTCATAAGTTCTTTATAGATCTTGGATACTAGCCCTTTATCTGATAGGTCACTTGCAAATATCTTCTCCCATTCTATAGGTTGTCTTTTAGTTTTGTTGACTGTATCCTTTGCTGTGGAAAAGCTTTTTATCTTGATGAAGTCCCAATAGTTCATTTTTGTGTTTGTTTTTCTTGCCTTCATAGATGTATCTTGCAAGAAGTCACTGTGGCCAAGTTCAAAAAGGGTGTTGCCTGTGTTCTCCTCTTGCTCTGTGCATGATGGAGACATAAATGTTAACATCTTCCATGATAACTGTGAATCTGTGATTCTTCCTGCAGGTCTTTCCATTTCCTGTTTAGTATTTTAGAGCTGTAGTCCAGGTGTGTGCACATTGAGAACTGTGTTATCACTCTTCATCCCCAGGAAGGGGGATGAAACTTTTGTCTTTCAGTTTGTTTTATTTGAGATCAATATGGCTACAACTGCTTTCCTTGGGTAAATATCACTGAGCTTAACTAGCTTAGTATTTTATATTAAAACACAGAACGTAAAAAGGAGGAAAAAAAAGAGAGGAAAAAAGGAAAAAACAAAAGAAAAAAGAGAAAAAGAGAAAAAAAGGAAAAAAGGAAAAAAGAGAAAATAAAAAAAGGAAAAAAGAGAAAAAAGAAAGAAAAAAAAGAAAAAGAAAAAAGAAAAAAAAAGGAAAAATAATAAAACACAGAACGTATGGGGCACCTGGGTGGTTCAGTAGGTGAAGTGTTTGCGTTCAGCTCAGGTCATGATCCCGGGGTCCTGGAGTTGAGTCTTGCATCAGGCTTCCTGCTCAATGGGGTGTCTGCTTCTCCCTATGCGTCTGCTCCTCCTCCCCTACTCATTCTCCCTCTCTGTGTCTCTCAAATAAAGAAAAATTTTAAAAACATAAAGTATAAAAAACACATTACATATATAGAAATATTCCCCCTACACCTTTGGCATTTAAGTACAGCATCTAGCTCACTTACATTAAAGTTATCTTTGAGCTTATCCTATTGGAGTTCATGAGCTTCCTGTGTATGCAGACTCATGGCCCTCATCAAATTTGGATAGCTTTAGCCTTTATTTATTTATTTATTTATATTTTATTTTTTATTTTTATTTTTTTATTTTTTTTTATTTTTTATTTTTTTTATTTTTTATAAATTAATTTTTATTGGTGTTCAATTTACCAACATACAGAATAACACCCAGTGCTCATCCCGTCAAGTGCCCCCTCAGTGCCCGTCACCCATTAACCCCCCCCGCCCTCCTCCCCCTCCACCACCCCTAGTTCATTTCCCAGAGTTAGGAGTCTTTATGTTCTGTCTCCCTTTCTGATATTTCCCACACATTTCTTCTCCCTTCCCTTATATTCCCTTTCACTATTATTCATATTCCCCAAATGAATGAGAACATACACTGTTTGTCCTTCTCCGATTGACTTACTTCACTCAGCATAATACCCTCCAGTTCCATCCACGTTGAAGCAAATGGTGGGTATTTGTCGTTTCTAATGGCTGAGTAATATTCCATTGTATACATAAACCACATCTTCTTTATCCATTCATCTTTCGATGGACACCGAGGCTCCTTCCACAGTTTGGCTATTGTGGACATGGCTGCTAGAAACATCGGGGTGCAGGTGTCCAGGCGTTTCACTGCATCTGAATCTTTGGGGGTAAATCCCCAACAGTGCAATTGCTGGGTCGTAGGGCAGGTCTATTTTTAACTCTTTGAGGAACCTCCACACAGTTTTCCAGAGCGGCTGCACCAGTTCACATTCCCACCAACAGTGTAAGAGGGTTCCCTTTTCTCCACATCCTCTCCAACATTTGTGGTTTCCTGCCTTGTTAATTTTCCCCATTCTCACTGGTGTGAGGTGGGATCTCATGTGGTTTTGATTTGTATTTCCCTGATGGCAAGTGATGCAGAGCATTTTCTCATGTGCGTGTTGGCCATGTCTATGTCTTCCTCTGTGAGATTTCTCTTCATGTCTTTTGCCCATTTCATGATTGAATTGTTTCTTTGGTGTTGAGTTTAAGAAGTTCTTTATAGATCTTGGAAACTAGTACTGGCAGAAAAACAGACACAGATCAATGGAACAGAATAGAGAACCCAGAAGTGGACCCTGAACTTTATGGTCAACTAATATTCGATAAAGGAGGAAAGACGATCCACTGGAAGAAAGACAGTCTCTTCAATAAATGGTGCTGGGAAAATTGGTCATCCACATGCAGAAGAATGAGACTAGACCACTCTCTTGCACCATACACAAAGATAAACTCAAAATGGATGAAAGATCTAAATGTGAGACAAGAGTCCATCACAATCCTAGAGGAGAACACAGGCAACACCCTTTTTAAACTTGGCCACAGTAACTTCTTGCAAGATACATCCACGAAGGCAAAAGAAACAAAAGCAAAAATGAACTATTGGGACTTCATCAGGATAAGAAGCTTTTGCACAGCAAAGGATACAGTCAACAAAACTCAAAGACAACCTACAGAATGGGAGAAGATATTTGCAAATGACGTATCAGATAAAGGACTAGTTGCCATTATTTCATCTATTCTATTTTTATATATATTCTCAATATGCTGCAAACCATGAATTCAAACTGATGCACCCAACCCACCCCCTAGTACAGGCCCTGTCTAGTTTTCTCAATCCTGGTGGCTGTGGGTCTCTCCTCTCCTCTCCTCTCCTCTCCTCTCCTCTCCTCTCCTCTCCTCTCCTCTCCTCTCCTCTCCTCTCCTCTCCTCTCTCTCCTCTATGCATTCACTTACTGGGTCTACAACCTGGGTGCAACATTCTCCTGTCTCTGCCACCGTTCTTTGCTCACATGGACACCTTTCTGTCATCTGGGGTTTGGAGGTCCAGGGTGCCCCCAGCGGAACCTCTGGACCCTGCTTCAGACCTCAATTCCCAGGAGGGCTGCTCCACCCTGGGTGTGGCTCTGAGCTCTGACTTTGCTCTGGGGTTTGGTGTCCCCATCTTGATCTGCCCACATAACAGCTTTGGTGGTAAATTGATCAGGAAATGAAAGGGTCCTGGGTTGGATCATGATCCCACCCCTCATTCCCCAGATTCATGCCCACCCAGACCCTATGACCATGACCACATTTGGAAATGGGCTCCTTCTCGGTGTCCATCGAAAGATGAATGGATAAAGAAAATGTGGTTTTTGTATACAATGGCATATTACTCAGCCATTAGAAATGACAAATACCCACCATTTTCTTCGATGTGGATGGAACCGGAGGGTATTATGTTGAGTGAAATAAGTCAGTCGGAGAAGGACAAACATTATATGGTCTCATTCATTTGGTGAATATAAATAATAGTGAAAGGGAATAGAGGGGAAGGGCGAAGAAATGGGTGGGAAATATCAGAAAGCGAGACAGAACATGAGAGGCTCCTATCTCTGGGAAACGAACTAGGGGTGGTGGAAGAGGAGGAGGGCGGGCAGTGGGGGTGACTGGGTGGCGGGCACTGAGGGGGGCACTTGAGGGGATGAGCCCTGGGTGTTATTCTCTATATTGGCAAATTGAAAACCCATAACAAATAAATTTATTATAAAAAAAGAAAAAAAGGAAATGGGCTCCTTGCAGACATAATCAAATTAGGATGAAGCCATCTGGAAGTGGGAGGTCCCACCATCCAATGTGATTACTGTCCTTAGAAGGATATTCACACAGAGACACAAGCTGAACACCACAGGACAATGGAGGCAGAGATTGGCGCAACTGGCCAAGGCTAAGGTTTGCTGTGTGGTCGGTGGCTCCCTGAAGCTGAAAGAGGCAGAGAGGGTCCTCCCATAGATGCGCTGGCAAGAGGGTGGCCCTTCCACACCATGATGTCAGGCTTCGAGCTTCCAGAACTGCTACAGAGTGGCTGTAGTTTTGGAGGATAGTCGCTCTGGCAGCTCTGTTCTTTCCCTCAGCTCCGCCTTCTCTTCTGTTGCTTCTGCTGCTGCAGCGACCGTCTGAGTCACAGCTAATCCTTGAAGCCAGCGCGCCTGCCCTGTTCTGTGGCTGCGTGCACGGTGCTGGCTTTCTTCAAGCCCTCTGGGTCTGTAAGGCTTCAGCTGATTCAACAAATACAGTGTACTTGACTCCTATTTGATAAGATACGTCTCTAGGGCTTTCTATCTCATCTAAATGTTAGTGGATGATATTGTGTCCCTTCATCAAGTAGTAATTCTCTTTCTTGTTCTTTATGTATATTTTGTCCTCTTGCTCTTTCTCCTGACCAGTCCCCTCAGAGGTCTGTCCTTTTTAAGAAACAGTTCTGGGGGGATCCCTGGGTGGCGCAGCGGTTTAGCGCCTGCCTTTGACCCAGGGCGCGATCCTGGAGACCCGGGCTCGAGTCCCATGTCGGGCTCCCGGTGCATGGAGCCTGCTTCTCCCTCTGCCTGTGTCTCTGCCTCTCTCTCTCTCTCACTGTGTGCCTATCATAAAAAAAAAGAAACAATTCTGGACTTTCGGTGCCTCTCAGTTGCTTCTTTTCTACGTTTTATTGATGTTTTTTGTTCATACAACAATTATGTCCTTTCTTGCTCTGTGTTTTTTGTTGTTGTTGTTGATCCGTTTCCAACTTGTGAACTTGGACTCTTCATTAACTCACGTTTTCTTTCTCTCAGGCTTTGGATTCTTCCTCGGACATGGCATGAGACATGGGCAGGTCACTCACCTTTTGCCAAACACGCTCGTCATGTTCGTCGTGTTGTCAGGGAGTGTGCTGCATTGGGCCCAAACATTTCAACATTTACTGAGTTGTGAACCAGGACCCAGCTGAGGGTGAGTTTCTACAATCCGCGGTGTGTCCAAGGAGAAGCGCTCCTTGATTTCTGGGTCAGAATCCCACAAAGTCTGACAGATAGTGTTTGTGGCTCTGCTTTCAAATGTCTGCACGGCGATTCCCACCTCTCGAGTCCCTTCTGCTCAGGGCTTGACCTCATCTTGCCACTGACACTGCTCTTGAGAGGGCAGCATGACCTCTGCTGTGCCTGACCCAGGGGTCATCCTCCAGCCCCCTGACAAGACCTGTCAGAGACGCTGGGTGTAGCTGGAGCACCTCCTTCTCTACTCAGTGCCTCTCTGCCTCCTGCTCTCCAGCCTTGGTCATGGAGGCCCCCAGTCCTGGCGTCTGGCACTCCCTGCCTCCTGGCTTGGACTTCTGTGCACACTTTGTCCTTGGTCGTCCCGACCAGTCCTGTAAAGATCAATGCCAGCCACGTGCAGACGGTTCCAAATTCAAGTCCCCATCTCTGGCCTCTTTGAGTCCCCATCTCTGGCCTCTTTGTGAACACTGCAGTTGTGGGTCTCGCGGTGGGACCCCACCCCAGCATCCCTTCACAGCCATCTAATTGGCAACTCCAATGCCATCCTAGAAAGGAAGCTCTTGATCTCTCAATCTCGGTAAGTGGCAATTCCATCCAAGCTGTGGGTCAGGAGACCTCCCTGCAAACCTGTCAGGTCTTCCACCCCAGGATGTGCATGACCTGAACCCTGTTCTCTACTACCACTGCCCCCACCCCACTGCCTCTGTGTCCTGTTCAGACTCCTGCACTGTCACCACTTGAACCCCTCTGGGGGCTTCCTGTCACCTAGAGTGAAGCCCATGGTACATTATGCCAATGGATCCTTTTACCTGCTGCCCTGTTTGCTTGCAATGTGCCCCCCCCAGCCCCACACTGACCTTGCAGGTCAAAGCCACCACCTCCAGGTAGTGTCCTGGTCATCTGCCCGATAACACCCGGTGCTGCTGTTTGGCCTGGCCCCATTGTTTACAGGGACATTTACCTGTTTTTCTGCTCATCCTACATCTGGACACTGCCGCAGCGCAGACACCCTGTGTGTGCCTCCACCTTGACACCTTCTTGATGCACAGTGGGCTGTCAATGAACAGCAGCTAGCTGAACAACTGCTCAGTTGTTTGGAGCTGCTTTCTTTGATTATTTGTGACAGTAATGTCATGTGTTTTCTTGGTTGTTTGCATTTACAGCCCCCTGGGAGCGATCTTCCCTTCTCCACCTTCCACTGAGAACTTGTCTGAAGCTCACATCTCTCCCACTGTCTGCGTGGTTCCATCGCTCCTTATGGAGATGCTGTGATGCTTAGTTTCTTCTGTTAACGTGACCAGGCTATGGTACTCCAGTATTTGGTCAAACACTCATCCAGAGACTGAAAGTATTTTAAAAGCGTGATTAACATTTAAATCAGTAGACAGGGATCCCTGGGTGGCGCAGCAGTTTGGCACCTGCCTTTGGCCCAGGGCGCGATCCTGGAGACCCGGGATCGAATCCCACATCGGGCTCCCGGTGCATGGAGCCTGCTTCTCCCTCTGCCTGTGTCTCTGCCTCTCTCTCTCTCTCTCTCTCTCTCTCTGTGACTATCATACATAAATAAAATTTTTAAAAAAATCAGTAGACAGTGAGTAAAGCAGATTGCCTCCATGTGATGGTGGGCCTTGTCGAATCAGTTGAAAGCCTTGAGTGAAAAAAGGCTGAGGTCCCACAAGAAAGACGGAGCTCTGCCTCCAGACACTTCCTGACCTGACTTGCAGCATCCACTCTGCTCTCCCAGATGCAGGCCTGTTTTATAGATTTTGGGCTAACCGAGTCTTCATAATCATGTGCTCTGGTTCCTTAAAATAACCCCCCTATAAATATAAATAAAATATAAATACAAATATATATATATATATTTATATAAAGGATAGATGAGATTTTGAAATAATATTGACAGATTTTCCTGTCACACACACATCTATCAATCATTTATCTATGTATAATCTATCAATCTGGTCTATCACTGTTTATTCTCTGAAGAACTCTAATCAATAGACTATTTGATGTCAAGTGCTTTGGTTGCTGTCTCCCATCCCTTTCACTTTGTGTATTCTGTCTTCCAGAATAAGCTCAGGAAACATGGGCAGGCCTGACCACAGTCGGGAATGGACAACAGGACCTTGCCTGCAGGACAGAACTCTGGTTTCTGCCTACATGCCAGGAAGCCTTGGGCCACAGGCCCTGGTGGCAGAGCAGTTCAAATCCTCCCCTTAAACACCAAGAGAGGGGGAAATCAGTTGGGCCCCATGCAGGTGGCTGGGCGGTGAATTCCACCGTTTGGGACCAGACTTGTCAAGCCTTGATTTAGGTGTGGGAGGGCACATATGTCCTGTTTATCACACAGCTGGAAACAGATGTTTCTGCCCAGGGTGGATGGCTTCCCGGCAGGCGGGACTGCGGTGGCCCCGGGTGAGCTGTGGAGCATGCAGGGAAACCGCCCTTGGCCTGCTGTCATAGGGTTGAGTTACAGCTTGTGGCCGCAGGACTGGGGAAGATCACACAAACACTCCCTACACCAAGGTAAACAGCCCAAACTGGGGCCCCACAGGGACTGTCACATGCCTCTGGCACATAGATTTCTGAAGTTGGGCAGAGGTCAGTTGATGCTTATTAAAGACAAAAGGGGAAGTCCCAGTAAAAGGCAGACCACTGGATTCTTCCATTGAAGGAAATAGCCTGACCATTTGGCCCATTGGGAGGGGCCAACCAGGAGGGACCAGCCAGGAGGGACCAGCCAGGAGGGATCAACCAGGAAGGATCATCCAGGAAGGACCAGCCAGGAGGGACAAACCAGGAGGGACCAGCCGGGAGGGATCATCCAGGAGGGACCAGTCAGGAGGGATCATCCAGGAGGGATCAACCAGGGGAGACCTGTCAGGAGGGATCATCCAGGAGGGACTAGTAAGGAGGGATCAGCCAGGAGGGACCAGCTAGAAGGGACCAGACAGGAGGGATCAACCAGGAGGGACCAGTCAGGACGGACCATCCAGGAGGGACCAGCCAGGAAGGATCACTCAGGAAGGATCACTCAGGAGGGAGCAGCTGGGAGGGACCTGTTAAGAGGGGCAAGTCAGGAGGGATCAGCCTCCTGATCATCCAGGAGGAATGGGAGGGATCATCCAGGAGGGACCAGGTAGGAGAGTCCAGCCAGGAGGGACCAGACAGGAAGGATCAGTGAAAGAGATTGGTCAGGAGTGATCAGTGAGGAGGGAGCAGCCAGGAAGTATCAGTCAGGTGGGATCAGACAAAGGAATCACCCAGGGGGAATCAGTCAAGAGGGGCCAGCTAGGAGGGACCAACCAGGAGGGATCAGTCAGGAGGGATCAGCCAGGAGGAGCCATCAGGTGGGGCCAACCAAGATGGATCAGTCAGAAGGGACTAGGCAAGAGGGAATAGCCAGGAGAAGCCAGGCAGGAGGGACCAACCAGGGGGGGGATCAGCTAGGAGGCATCAGCCAGGAGGGACCAGCCAGGGGGGATCAGACAGGAGGAATCAGTAAAGAGGGGCTATCCAGGAAGCCAGGAAGGATCAGGGAGGAGGGATCAGTCAGGAGAGGCCAACCAGGCAGGTCAGTGAGAAGGGATCACCCAGGAGGGATCATCAAGGAGGGATCAGCCAGTGGGACAAGCCAGGAGGGACCAGTCAGGAGGTACCAGCCAGCAGGGATCAGTCAGAAGGGAATGCCGAGGGAGGATTAGCCAAATGGATCAGACAGGAGGGATGAGACAAAGGGATCACCCAGGAGGGATCATCAAGGAGGGATCAGCCAGGAGCAAATAGCCTGGAGGGATCATCCAGCAGGGATTATCCAGGAAGGATCAGCTAGGAGGAATCAACCAGGTCGGGTCAACCAGGAGGGACCAGCAAGGAGAGGCCAGACAGGAGGGACCAGCAAGGAGGGATCAGCAAAAGGGATCAGTCGGGTTGGATCAGTAAGTAAAGATCACCCAAGAGGGATCAGCTTGGAGGGACCATCCAGGAAGGATCAGTCAGGAGGCTTCAGCCAGGAGGGGCCCACCAGGCAGGGCCAGCCAGGAGGGATAAGAAAGAGACACCAGTCAGGAGGGACCACCTGGAGGGATCAACCAGGAGAGGCCAACCAGAAGTCGCCAAGTAGGAGATAACAGCCAGGAGGGATCAGCCAGGAGGGATCCACCAGGAGGGATCATCCAGGAGGGATCAGCCAGGCTAGTCCAGCCAGGAGGAATCAACCAGGAGGGGCAAGCAAGGAGAGGCTAACAAGGAGGGATCAGCCAGGAGGAATCAACCAGGAGGGGCAAGCAAGGAGAGGCTAACAAGGAGGGATCAGCCAGTAGGGATCAGCCAGGAAGGATCATCAAAGAGGGATCAGCCAGGAAGAAATAGCCAGAAAGGATCAGCCAGTAAGGATAAGTCATAGGAAGCATCCAGGAGGGATCAGCCAGGGGGGACCAGGCAGGAGGGGCCAGCCAAGAGGGATCAACCCAGATGGATCACCCAGGAGCAATCAGCCAGGAGGGACTAGTGAGGTAGGTCTGGAGAGATCATCAAGGAGGGATCAGCCAGGAGGAAACAGACAGGAGGGATCTGCCAGCAGGGATTAGCCAGGAAGAATCAGCCAGGAGGGATCAACCAGGAAGCTTCAGCCAGATGGGATCAGCCAGGAAGTGCCAGCCAGAAGCAATAAGGCAGGAGGAATCAGCCAGGAAGTAATAGCTGGGAAGGTCCAGTCAGGAGCGATCAGCCCACAGAGGCCAGCCAGTAGGGACCAGCCAGTAGGGACCAGCCAGTAGGGATCAGCCAGGAGGGATCAGCCAGGAGAGACCAGACAGGAGGGATCAGCCAGGAGGGGTTAGCCAGGATAGGGCAGACAGGAGGGACCAA